GCAATTCCCATTTTTCAGAGTGCTTATTCGAGTGCATCTGCACACGAGACATCATGAGACTATCGATCTTCTCTCGCAACCCGCTCTCTAGAAAATCTGTCACTGTTCTTCTGTATTACGCGGAAAACACATTTTCTTTGTCAATGCTTAACATTCAAGAAACATTATTTTGTTGAATCTGATGTTACTTACCGCTCAAGGAGTCTTCGTATGTCCTCTTTCTCAGACCGAGTGTTCATTACTTCAAGGTACCGCGATTTCCTTAGTTCCTCCCAGTAACTTCTTGGCCGAGATATTTCGCTAAGCCAGTCATTGTTCGTTTCTCCGTGATAAAACTGTTCATCTTCATACTCTTCTTGTTCTTCCCATCCATTCGAATAAGATGTTTCTTGTTGCTCAAGGCACTGATCCATCTCATTACTCTCATGTACCACACCTTGTTTTTCTGGACTTTCTTCAATACAATTTTCCAATTTTTCCTCGTTTTGATTCTGCCGCATCTGTAATTCTTGAATTAGGCAGACGCTCGGGCTTGTCTTCTCTTCTTTTGTCCTCTCAGACTCGTCGTACTTGTAAGTTTCTTTTGCCTCTCTTGTTTCTTGCAGCTGAAGGTAGTTCATTGTTGATTCAACTCTTCCATTTACAATTTCTTCTTCCTTACATAAGGTTGCTTCCTCCTCTATCTTGCGGTTATGGATGCACAACCGTTCTGTGGAAAAAGCTTCTAGAGTAATACCGCTGTTTTTCGACAACCTCGTGGTTACGGTTGTTACTGGTGTTTCTTCTACGGTTTTGTTATTCATCTCAGCGGATCGATGATGATCGTTCCTATGATCTGTTGCAGCCGTAGCGTTTACTGCGGTAGCACGGAATTTCTCTCTGCGTTGCGTTTCAAGAAAAAGAGTATCAAAAATATTGTACATTCTGAGAACTAAATTCAAGAACTCCTAGGAAAACAAAAGGAGCTAATATTATGAAAATGACCTTAAATGCAGAACTGTAGAGCCTAATTCGATGCGGTTTACTCCGTTTATTTTTGCGTTAGACTGGTTTCGATCTTGAATCGCTAGACAGCGATTGAGGTTCCTTAGCCTTAACATTGACTGGTTAAAGAAACATCACATTGAGATAGTGCTAAACTTGTAACTAAAGAAAAGTATTAAGTGCATTGTAAAAAAAGACTAAAATGTTCGGTGGTTTGTCAAATGAGAAAAAAAATATAATTTACCTGAAGGCGTCCACGTTGAGTAAACCTAGAAACTGCGTTGCGTTCAAGAAGCGTTTCCAATTCGCGGTGGCGATCGCGTTCCAGTTGCATAAGCAGATCGGTGAACGCTTGTCGTCCCCGGAGCCTCGGCGAGAAACTAACCACCGTAAAATTGCTTTTCTCCGACGACGAAACGCAAGGCCTCGACGTTCTGATAATCGAGAGTCCACAGTCGCGGCCATTTTCTCCGGCGGTTAGCTTTTCTTCGTTGCTAAGCCTCCGTATTAGGTCGGCCACTCTACCGGAATCAGAAACCGAACCGTGTGACTCAGATTCAATCTCCACCGTTGGATCAAGATTCTTAGCTTCTTCAATCTCCGATTCATCTGAAATATGAGAATCTTGAACACTGACTCCTGAATCGCTCCGACTACTAGTACTCGCCGTCGTCGATTGGCCGTGACTCGGCGAATTTCCGCCGTTGGATCGGTTTAGCCTCGCCTCCCATATCTGTACCAGAGAAAAAGCTCCGGTTTTTTCGTTTCTCTTCGATTCCGAAACCGAAGATTCTACGATCGGTTTCTTTGTTAATCGAATCTTGTTCTTTATATTCTGAGTCTCGATCCAAGAATCGACTAAGTTCTCAGAATTCTCGTCTTTAACCAGAGCTTTCAGATTCTTCTGCAAAACGACGGCGTTTTGATCGTACCGGTGATTACGATCTCTAAGAATAAAACCGAATTTCTG